AATGTGCCCTTAGGAGGGAGGACCTCGCTGCAGCAGCTCGGTCACAGTCTGTGCCTGTGGAGGGTAGATCTCTTGGTGGTGCTCTTCCCGTGTGCTCTGGGAAGCTGCCGTGAGGAGAGAGGCCTTGCTGTACCACATCCTTCCACCATGATGTTTCTGCTCTGGGGCCAGCTGACCGTGAACTGAATCTCTGAAACTGTGAGTCAAGTAAGTAATTTCCTCCTTTAAGTTGTGGAGTCAGAAATTCTGTCCCAGCAACAGGAAAGCTGCCCAATACATCTACAGATATTTATTAACTCAAGAAGTATTTCCCAAACCCCTTCTCTAGGTCAGGCTGTATGTTAGACTCTGAGGACACAAAGATGAACGAGATGGAAAACACCATGATCTGCAGGTTTCAAATGGGATGGGCATGAACAAGGGCTTACAGGAGAAGCATTTGATACAGTGTGGGTGGGAGTGGAAATAGCCAGAAAGACCTCCCCAGAGGAATGTTCAGAATCTCCACACGCTGTCAATGCTACCATAGAGTTGGCCTAGCTTATCTTTAATCCTCCCATCAACATTCCTATTGAGTAATTATTATAAAGCATTAAGTAAGTTTAGTAAGTGGCAGGGACGTATTGTGATCCCAGATACACTGACCCTAAGCTTGCCTGACTCCAAAGTTTGTGGTCTTTCTAATATGGAGTTTGTCTCTGAGGATGCCATATTCCAGTTCCATTGCAAGAAGAGAGTCCACCATTATGCCAGTCAGCTTTCTGTTACTGTGACAGAATACCTTTCCATCACTGTGGCAAAAAGGATTTATTTTGGGTTACTGTTTCAGAGGTCTCAGTCCCTGGTTGGTTGGCTCTGTCTTTTTGGGACCTAAAGTTTCTGCCACCTCCCAGTAACACCATCATCTGGGGATGAAGACTTCAACTCATGAGCTTTTGGAGAACACTTTGGATCCAAACCATAGCAACTAAGAACAAACAGAACTGGAAAGAGTAACCGACCAGGCCACGAGGAAGGCATCATGGAGGAGGTGGCCCTGAGTGACCTTGGTAAGATGGTTCACAACAGGAAGAGCACAGGTTCTTTCGTTAGTCTCATTGGTCCTCCAGGTTATATGCAGGGAGGAAACACTGAAAGTCAAGGCCATATTCCTAGCAGCCAGGGGCTGTAATAGATGGGTTTTTTTGTTTGGCATAGTAAGGTAAGGTAAATAGGAGTCATTTTTGGGTTACAGGAAACAGAGACCCAGTCATACCAACTACAGCAAGAAAATAAATCCAAGCAAACAAACTCAATTTAAAAATGTGCTTACTTTAAGGATTCAGACATTTTGCAGAACCCAAGAGGAAGAGTGTAATGTGACTAGGAGATAGGCAGCCGGGATCAACCACTCTCTCACTCCTGCCTGTGTTTCTCTGAGTGTCCACCTCATCCTGCTGTCTGGCTTTTACCATCTTTCCATAGTGAGGCAAAGATGCCTCTAAATACTTCCTGGGAGTCAACATCTCTGATCAGCATTCTATATCCCCAGGAGAGAGAATCTGATTGGTTTCTCCTGGGCCACACAGCTACGGCCAGGAAATAAAGGTGTCTATTCTCAGAGAAGAGAATGTGTGAGCAGGATAGATCTCTAGAGGCCATGCTAGTCTGTGCCAGGTTCTGGTGAGAGGGGGCCAGGAGTCCTTTCTTTTTACATTCTCACTCTTCCTTTTACAGTAACCGATTGGTTTCCATGTTTATAATTTTTCTGTGTAGTTATTAAACCCATAAATAAAGATTTCATCTGCGAAGCTCTGCCTTGCGAGAGCAGACAAAAGAGCAGGCAGAGCAGAGTTTACCAGTCCCGGTAGCCAGAGCAACAGAGGAGGTTCCTAGCTCCCAGGATGCTGGGGCCGAGGGACCAGAGGCTGCAGCTGGGGACAGGCCTGAGTCAGCAGAATAGCCCTGCCTTCCAGCTGAAGAAATGCTAAGGCCTTCCTGAAGCACACTGCCAAGACAGCCATAGAGAGGCTGGCTAGCAGGCCCTAGAGTCTATCCCGAAAGCTGGAGGAATACCAGGATGGTCTCGACAGCTCTTCAAATGAACATGTTTGACTTAAACCAGGTAGAGAAATGGGAAGCAGTAGAAGGCACATTTCCAGGAGCCTTGGGGAAGGGGTGCCTGTGTAGGGAGGATTGAGGGGGGATCTGGGGACTCTCAGACTAGAGGAGGAGGAAAAGGAGGGAAATGGCACTGGTTCCTGTTTAAATCAGAGCTCTCCATCTCAGAGGAAACAGCAACAGCTGAATCAACAACTTCATTCTTCACATCGCTGCCCTCTGCCTCCCCTCCATCCAGGGCACGGACAACATTAGCTCAGGAGCCTCTATAAAAATGTACAAGACAAACCCTTCAGTTTCCTTGGCAGGCAGATGTTAAGACCAACAACAGGGAGGCAAGGATATTGGGAACAAAGAGAGCTTGGAAGGAGGGCAGGAAAGTCTGGGGCCTGTTGGGGGGATGTGGGAGCTCTCTCAGCCCCTTTGTGATGGAAAAGCAGCAGTTGGACCAATAGCTGCAGCCCCTCCTGGGTCTTGAAGCTGGTGACCACCCTAGGTCTCAGGATACGGGCAGGTGTGGAACTTTTCTATGGATTTGTAACCCCTCTCTCTGCTATTAGGGTATTTTGTTTAACCAAATCAGAGGTTGTGACCTTGGTTAAAAAACCAGGTGATGGCTGGGGATTTAGTTCAGTGGTTCCGCTGCCTGCCTTGCAAGCACAAGGACCCAAGTTCAATGCATGGTACCAAGAAAAAAAAAAGTGAAAAAACCAGGTGATAGCTAGTGAGGACTCAAGAGGGTGATAAGGCTGCTTTTTGAAGTTAGGGTTCAGCTACTAAGGCTGTCTCCATGAGCAGCAGATGATTTAGTTTAATGAATTTGGACAGTTTGCTGGCTCTGTCCACACAGTTCCTCACCTTTCAAAATGCTTCTAAAATAGCACTAGCCATTCTACCGGCTCCAGAAAGAAAAAGCAAAAAGCAGTCTATGACAAGGCTCCAGAGACTTCCACCCTTTCAGAAAAAACCTGAGTGAACTTTTCCAAGGAAATGTTATTTTATTTTATTTTTCATTGAGTTTATTGGTACATTTTAGGTATACAGTATAGACCTAGGAAATTGTAAACCCCACAAGAAAGAAGCTTTTCTCATTCTCATTGAGGAATCAGGCATAAAAAGATGCCACCGAAATGAGCACTTGGGTGTGTGAGGCAGAAGGACCAGTTTCCATGGGACTCACAAGCATCACAAATGTACTTCGTACACAGTTCCTCTCACATCATTCGCGCGTCCAGACTCAGAGTCATTCTCTCATCAGAGACATCAACAAGCTACACCGTCACACTGGGAAGGACCGTCCTGAGCGTGCACACACACAAATATCGTCCCACACATTTGCACAGAGTCCCACAGTTGCACACAGTCACGTGTGCACATGTATGCATGTGCCTACACACACACGCACACACACACACACACACACACACAGTCACGGCCCCACACTGCAGTCCTTCACTGCCTGGACCCTGCTCTCCAGGCCTCTGCTGAGAACTCCCTTCCTCCTCCACACCCTTCTACGCTGGAGCCAGATGTTCCGTGGGCAGACCCCTCTGTGGGCTGACAGGCGGTGATTACGGTTGCCAGCCCCACATTAGGAGAGAATTGAATGGGAGAGAACCCCCACCCTCTCGGGCTCCCTACAATAGCGCCTTTGTGAGGTGCTTCACTGCCTTTCTCTCCCCTTGCTCAACAATCTACGTCAGGAGCAGCTCTGCCTGAGAAAAGAAAACAAAAGGAGGATCACAGGGCCCTGACTGATCCACCGTCCTGGGGTTGAAGGAGGGCTGTGCTTTGGAAAGAGCAGCCTGTGTTCCTTCCCCCTCCCTGCTAGGGTAAATAACCCAGAGGGCTTCCGGGGATGCCTGAGGCAAACTCCCCCAGGAAGCGAGAGGATTCTGTCCGCCAGCCAGCCCCGCTCCTGTGTGCTGAACATGGATGCGGCTGGGGTGAGGGCCTGGTGCCCAGATCAGCAGATTCCTAGAGACTGGAGCCCAATGCCTGGAGCTTCCTTCTGCCCATCCATTCTGCCTTCTGCCATCCAGAACCAAAGGCCAGGACACCACGCTAGAAGTGTTAAACTTTCAGGGCTCTAGGGCAGGCCTAATCCAGATTCCAGGACTTGGATGAGTAGGTGGGAATGATGCAGTGGATAGAAGGAAAGCAGGGACGTGTGGGGTGGGTAACTGGTGAGACCAACATCTGGGCTGGTCACTGCCCCTCCTCCCTGCCCAAACCACAGTCGCTGTGGCAGCAGAAAAATCAGAATGGTTCAGACCAAGGATTGTGCAACCAAGTCTTGGGGAAGAGCCCAGTACTGGAGGTGGGCGTGGAGGTTTGGGCTGGGGTGGGAGCAGAGTCCACTTCAGAAGTGGGATGTAAAGTTCTCCCTAAAAATACATATATTCTGTGCTCTGGTCTCTACACTACCTTTCAGGGCAAGTAACACCCATTTTCTGACTCAAAACCCACTGAGCACTGCAGCTGGAAGCACTGCATCCCCCTAGGTCCCGGTGTAACTTTGGCCAGAGGCGTGGTGCCATTGGTGGTTCTGGGATGGTTGCTGCAGATGGCAGTGGGCATTCAAAGGAGGACATTTGTCCAGCCTCCTAAAGCGGCAGGATTCTGCTGCATCCTCAGGCGCCTCACATAAAATCTGTAACTGGAGAAGTTCCAGCTCCCTCAGCTAAGGGAGCCCAGCCAAGTCCCTAATGTGGCTTAAGGAGTGGGGATGAGTGGAAGGAAGAAAATGGAAGGCCTCTGGGAGATCTGTGACCTGAGAGCTACCTCAAACAAACACAGGAGAGTAGTAGTGGATTTTCCTTTTAATGCAAAATGTTGCAATACAAAACGATATGGAGAAAGCTCCATTCTTCAGGCACTGGAGGGATGTGGGAGAATCATCTGCTTCTGCTCCTCTCTCCCCTGAGCCATACTATTCCTGGGGAGCCCCCATCCAAGGGAGGGTCACAGCCATGGGCCTGGGTTATCTGGGACCTGATATTTGTGGACATGGGCAGGAGAGCAGAAGTGAACATTTAGTTTTCACTGTTTCGGCTCTACAAGGGTTACCCAGGATCTGGAGTTCCATATGAAACCAAGGGGCTATGAGAACCAAAAGGCTATAAGAAAATTTGAAAAATGAGCAGGAATTGTATTAGGAATATAAAGGTATAAAGATAAAAAGATTTAAAATAAAAAAACAAGTCTAGCTTCTCAAACTTCTTCCTCTTTCTTCCTCATCTCCAGCTTATACACAATCTGATAGCCATCATCCCAGGCATAGAGCTGGCGCTCACGGGGATTATAGCGGAGGCTGGCATGGGCACCATATCGACGGGGAAAGTAAGAGAGTGCTGCTCGTTCAGGGGTGAGGGTACCACTGACATCAAAGGAACACTGGATCCGGGCCCGGCTGGCAGGACGGGTGTTATAGACGACATATAGGGTCCCGCAGATGACGAAGGCAGCCTCAGCATTCTCTCTGGGACACGGTGTGTCCCACTGTTGCTCTGTGTCCAGTGTCTGTGGATCTAACTTGGCCAGGCACAAGTGCCTGTCATCCTCCCGGGTGGCATAGACAGCCCAAAGACCCTCCTCATCAGCGGCCAGGTCGATGTACGTGTCTGAGGTCAGCCCGTAGGGGGGAATCAAGCTCTCTGCAGGAAATACGGAGCTGTCCACCACCGTCCGGTTTGCCAGGTGGAATTTGATGAGCTGCAAAGTGTTCTCCAACTCACTACCCCCTCCAGGTCCTCCAGGAGGCCTCCGGGCATAATAAAGAAAGCCACCGTATACCAGCTGCCCCGTGCCTACCCAGGGGAAGGGCACACGGACTCGGGAAGCTTTGCGGGCAGCCATGGCAAGGGTGAAGTCACGTAGCCTTGGGAAGACAAAGGCTGTGTCATTTTGGGTCCCATCTAAGACATAGATCTTCTCTGCGGGCCCCAGTGGATCCTTGGTCCATAGTCCAGCTGGGCCACCAAACCGCTTCAGGATCTTCATGGATCTCACCTGAGAGATTGTGTAGCTACAGTCTGGTGGAGAAGAAGAAAAATAAGAGAAAAGGAAATAGAAGCCGGGGTTAGTTCCTAACTAGGAACTCGCAGGGCTAGGGATTTAGCTCATTGGTGCCACTGCCTGACTCAGTCCCAAGTTTGATTCCGGGTACCAAAGCAAAATAACAGCGACAACTAAGTAGGAACTTGCCAAGACGGGCTACCTGGAGAAGAGAGGGCATCTGCTGTGTAGATAACCTCTTCTCTTATGGAGGACTGAGAGAGGGAACACCAGAGAGGCCTGGGTCCTCAAATACTCTTCTTAATGGATTTATTGCACAGATTTCTCTAACACAGGTTCTAAAAGAGGACCACAGTGGACTGGAACCAAGAGAGAAAAAGGGTAAGAAGGAAGGAAGACTGCGGGTTCTGAGCACTGGGGCCTGCTTTGCAATCACTCACCTGTCATCATATCATACTTTTCATTTCTTCTGCCCTTCCCTTTGGTCCCAGGGCCTCCAGTCACCTTCTCATCAAGCTCTGCACAGGGTAGAGCTGGGCTCTGCGTCTCTAGATAGTCTACCTCCCGTTCCAGACGGTCCACTCTCCCTGAAATGGTGTCAGCCTCGGTTCTGAGCGCCTCACGCTCCTTCTCTGCCACCTCCAGCAGCGGCAGCATCTTGTTCTTGAAGTCCCGCAACTCAGCAGCATGGCGACTGCTCTGGTCCTGGCACTGGGCCAGCCGTTCCTGAAGGGACGGGGGATCAGGAAGGAGGGAGGGCGGGCTGCAGGGTTATAACTTCCAGGCAGAGAGGCCCAGCCAGGGAGTCAGAATGGGAAGAGGAGCTAGGCGTTAATGTCCCCTCCCACTGCCACAGCAAAGGAAACCGATGTTCAAAGGTGCTAATTGTGCAAGGAGCCCAGCTCAGGTTCACCCAGGCTAGAGTCCTTCAGCCTGTGTGCTGGGAACCCCACTGGGTTACTTGAGCCTCTAGGGAGATCTAAGTGCAGCAGGGTGGGAAGGGGTCTCTACCCTATTATGTAACTCTCCTCTTGGGAATGAAGATGGTATGGACTTCAAACTGTTGGAAAAAAGGGCAGAAAGCTGCAGATTCTCTGGGAACTTCCAACTTCAGAGAATCATCAACTCCTCCCGAGATACGACCCCCCGCAATCCTGGCTCTCATTTCCACTCATCCTCTTACCCCATCTAATCACAAAGGTCTGTTTGCTTCGGCACAGCTCTGTGTGGCAAAAGAAGTCTTGTAATTGTGAGGATCCTCTTTATTAAAAGGCAGTTTCCTGCAGGTTCTTACAAAGCCCTACTTTGTCACGCCCAGAACCCTGATAAACTGGAATCCTCCCAGCCTGGGCTAGAAGAGAAAGGAGTCCCTCACCTCCAAGGAAGCTAGTCGACGTTCCATGTACTCCACAAGGTGGTGCTGCTGTCCCTGAAGGGGTCCGGACCAGGACAAAAGGAACAGGACGAGGAGAGGAGAGCTGAGCCCCATGGCAGCCTGGAGAGTGGGGCCACAGTAAAGACAGCGTGCGGTCGGCCTCTTCCCCTCAAGCTGGCGGGCTAGCCTGGGAGGCGGGGTGGGGGCGGTGCCTTCTCTCTTTCTGATCTCTGGGTCTCTCTCACTACTCTGGAATGCTTTCAGTCTCTCTACAACTCCAGCCCCTCCTTTCTGCCTGGACTGATCAAACACAGATGGCCCCCTTGTACAGCAGCCAGAAGACTTACCCATCTCCCCACCTAGGCTGTAGGCTCCCCAGGAGGAAAAAGATGGAAATGTGAAAGCAGAGGTTTCCTGGGAAGTCTAGCAGGGAAGGCGGTAGACTCTAGAGAAAACCCCGCAAACACCGTTCTTGTTTTGGGAGAATGCTTTCAGTGTTGATTTGTAAGAAGCTGACATCCTTCATTAATCCTTGCCTTCTCTAGCAAGAATAGGATAGAATTCCTGCCTTGTTTCCGTGGAAGCTGGAAGCGGGAGCTATTTGAGGGGAGGTGGGAAAAAGGCCAGAGGCCAAGTCAAACTCCTTCTATAGCTCACTGGCGCCATCTCGTGCTAAGCACCGGGTGCCATCTCAGGATTAATAAAGAAATCAAGGATTAGACCTTCCCCGAGGTTGAATTTTTTTCTACAAAGCAAGGCAGGTAGTTTGTATTTACAGGGTTTTCCACCACTAAAATACAGATTTCCCTACAGGCTACCCAATTTATTTAGGGGGCTATGCCAATCTCTCTGATTTAGCTCAGGGAAAAGAATACAGTGGAGATTAAAACAACAAAGAACAGGTCATTGAGAAGTTAGTAAATTAGCTCGATTTTCTGGAAGTGGGGCTAACAGCAGAGCAGTGCTGCATGGCTTTCCGAGAGTAATCTCTTGCCAAAATTGAGTAGTTCAATAAATTCGCACTAATTTAATTCACTGACGTGGGGAGAAAAGAAAATTTGAAGTTTATGTAAGTTGTAGTCACCCAAAATAAATATATTCTGACCTTGCTGTTTCTGGGAAAAAGACTTCTGACCATTCATCTTGGTTAGGGTTCAAAAGAGTATTCCTAACTGTTGCTCATTTCTATATCCTAACCAAAGCTGCAAGAACCCAAAATGAATTAACTGGCCACTGCAGACTTGGCCTGTGACACACGTCAAAAGTCAACTAAATAAAGCATTTAGTCAGAGACCTGCAATGATTAATCTTGACAAATCTCTGAGAAAAGATGATCATTTTAGCATCAAGTGAGAGCTATCAGAGGTGCTCCTTCTCTGAAAAGGACCACCCATCTAACAGTACAGCTCCAGAAAAAAACAACAGCATCTTCCTGTGCTGATTATTTTCATTCCACTACCTTAGGTGATTGGTGAAACACACTAAGAAACAAACTTTAATTAGCTCATCTGAGAAGTTTTCTACTTCTTTCACAGGGTGATCTAAAGAAGCTAACAGTCTAGCCCTGGACAGCTAGCTAGTAATGCAGCTTCACAACAGCATACATTTTCACCATCAGGAGAGATTTTTAGTGACACTTTTCATGACTGGATTGCATGGACAGTGGAACACTGGGTGGGAGTGGGTGCTAACGCCACCTCCTTCCTGTACCTGCCAGAGAGTCAATGCAATGGAAACCCGCGTGCACCAAATTTGTGACTTGGATAAAAGGTAGTTGTTACCAGGATCAGTATTTCAACCTACTTGTGTATGCCTGTGAAGATGGGTACTTACTGTTATTAAGCAAACATGTAAATTTTATTTAATTATTACACTTGGCTTATGTTGTTTTGTAAAATAATGTATTAAGTTAAAATATTTTAAAAAGGAAACTTTGCTACTCATATCTATGAATTACATTATATATTTTGTATATGGTCCAAAACAATTTTCTTCACTCAATGAGGCCCAGGCAAGCCAAAAGGTTGGACATGCATATAATGATCTCAGACCTCCATTCTTGGGGAATATTCCCTACCAGAACTTATTCATTTCCATTATGGAAATTATTATCAAGAATGAAATTGTCATGTATATGTACCAATTCCCCATGATGAATGTAATCATTATGTACTGCAAACATGTACTAATAAAAATTTAAATTAAAAAAATGAATTGTCTCTAATGCTGTTAGTGTTCAAACACAATGTGCTTAGCCACTCCAAAGATGTCATTTCTTCATCCCCTCTGTGCCCCTATAACAGAAACAGCCACACAAATCAGAAAATTTACCCATTTTATTGATGCATTGCAATTGCTCTACATTTTACCATATTATGTAGAAAATACTGAAAATACAAGCTACTTTGTAAAACCAAAGACAAACATTAAATCCAAAGTTAAACTATGTTTTACACAATGGACCCTTTTCCCATAGTTAGTATTAAATTTTAAATATCTATTTCTTTTGTTAAAATGATTATTTTACATACTCCCTAAGTACATCTGCATTACAAACATAGCTCAATAATTTCTCAGAAACTATCTGTTTCTAGAGGTTTGTTGTAAAAGGAAGCTCACAACCAGAAAAGGGAAAAAGAAAAAAAAGTTTAAATCACACACAATAACTAGCATATCAAATACATTTAATAAAGTAGGAATTCCATTGCAATATCAAGGATTCAAAGCAGAAATACTAACATTACATACAATGTACATATAATGTACTGCTACATGTAGTGAGATTATTTTTCAAGCTGAATTGAAACCACACATTAAAGTTTAGCAACAAACAACCATGTAGACATGCTGCACCATCCATCAGTTTAAAAACAAAATCAAAATAGGAAGCAGGCTGGGCTATTCCTGTCACTGAGAGGCAATTTCACTTCCCATCCTAAAACAAACCATCTCAACTAGTGGATTTCTGTGTAACACTGCTGAGTAAAACACACACTACTGTGCTTGCCTGGCTAAGAGCAGTCAAGCTTAGCCCCTCTAGTGGAGGATGATGGATGAGCAATCACAAAAGCAGGCTCAGAATGGACAGAACTCTTTGAAATGGAATTCTTATTCCTGGGGTTGGCATTTCAGCTGAACACTGACAATGCCATCAGCCTCTTGGGAGCTCTTAAAACTCAAGAGTGATCAAGTGTCCTGACGAGGCTAGATGGCTGTACTCGACCCTCCCCACTCCTTCCCTCACCTGGAAGGGTACAAGTTGGAAATGAACCTGACCAAGGACTTAAAGCCTCAAAGGTCAGGCCACGGTGACCCAGACCAGCTGCTCCCTACATTCAAAGGACTTCCCTACGCTGTCAGGGCCAGCAATGTTAAACCCCAGGGACAGAATCTAAAGCCACACCAAGCACATACACATTCAGCAGACAAAGGTGGATTTTTATCTTGGTAAACCTGAAATGTCAATTTGCAGAGTGAGACCGAAAATCTCTCTAGGTTATTTTTTATGCCACACATGGCTAGTCAGGTGATTAAGGTATTACCCTTTCCTATGGAGTCAAGACTCTTTATCTCAAATGATATTTACTTATTGGACTAAAGGAAGAGGTGGGGTTTTATTTTTCCCTGCATCTTATTTCTTACAAAAACAAGAAATTTTGTCCCTTGCAGAAGAAAGATAAGGAACAAAAAGTGTTTCCACTAGAAACCAGACCTGCATTAAACAAGAAAACCAGGATGTGCTTGGCAAAAAGGAGAGACAAAGATCATACACACTGACCAGAAAACTATGTAACACTACTTATAAACTACACAAACTGCCTGGCTGTCTTGACCAATACAGTGTGGAACACACAACTTAATATTATGATTTTTTTACAATACAGAAAACACAATACGTTCCTGGTAAGCTGTATTGAGTACCAGTCCCATCTTGGAAACCCTTACTCCTTTTATGCTGAAGAAACTCCAAACACTTTGTCAGCTCCTCGGTGTTCAACCCGGTGCAAAGCTTGCTGACCAGGCTCCATGAAATCTCCCATCTCCATCCTGCACCTTCTTGACACCATCTCTATACAGAACCAGTCCTAGAATTATATCTCCAGTATAATTTTCAACTCAGATGGAACACATCTCTCTTAGGGTAACCTTCTTCCCCTGAATCCTTTACGGGCAAGAATGTCCCCCCATCCCCAGTACCTTCTACTTGACTCAGATCTGTGGAGAGCTGAGAGTACCAGGACAATGTCACAACTTGAAGGGTCCCAAGAATATACAAGTTGTTAAAAAGAAACCTGAAAAGCCTCAATGATCCAACAGGCTTTGGTTTCTTAATATTCTTCACCAGCTAAGAAACCTTTCTGAGAGTTTCTCATCACCAGCGACACGACAAAACTCCTCATAGTATAGGGACATGGTAAGCAATACAACAGGATCTTTGGTATAAACACATCTGTTACATGTTTGTTTTCAACAAGCAAATATTTTATTAGCAATGTCAACTATTTTCAGGAAGGACTGCCACATGGGAAAAGAAAAAAAAAATTTCATTCTAAAAGTGATTGCACATATTTTAAAAAAGAAAGAATGCATATTTAATATTGGCTTGACTCCTCTCACCTGCTTCCTAAATTCTCACAGAAACAAGGTAGCAATGCACAGTGAGAGAGCCACATGGGGAAAATGCTTCTGTGAGAACTCAGCTAAGACTCCAAAGTGGAAAGGAGTAGAGCTGGCAATAAAGAAGAAAAGCTGCTGTTTTTATTTTTCAACAGTGGCAGGGAAACTGAGAACAATGCATCTACACAACACAGCTACTAATCCTGTTCTGACACATCCCAGTGAACAGCTTCTGGGTCCACGGGGGCTTGCTGGTCCATCCTAAGGCAAGCTCACTGTAAACTCTATTAACCACTACATTATCGTATAAGGCACTACAATAAGGGAAGGGAGGAGAAAGGGAAGGAAAAGACACACACTGAACAACTCCTCACCAGACACACCTGTGCAAAACAATTCCAAGGGTCTCCTCTCCTTGCAGGCAATGCCCCTGCTCATTTAGCACTACAGTAATATGCTCTAATATAATTGCAATTAGTTCACATACATTCCAACAAGTATCAGTTCATTTTGGTTTAAATACAATGGAGACGTTAATTCCATCTCCGGGGTAACACTGGAGGATCAGATACACACTAAATACACAATTCAAGTGTAATCACTACACATTTGATTACAAATAACATTTTAGGTTAGCAGGAAAAAATTGCTTGTTATATTTTTCTAATCAATATGTACATATTTAATTATGCAAAATATTAAAACACCACCATTACAAAACTTCTAAAATATTTTAAATTCCGTAATAAATTTTTAAAATATTTTTTTGCAATTCCTACATGCACTTATTATATAAGTCAATAAGAGAGCATTCAATTTGCTGCTGGCATACAAAGGAAGCTACTTTAAAGTATAAAAGCTATACATAACAACGTTCTTATCTAGTTTCAGATCCTTTAGCTTTCTCCCCAAATAAATCGCATAAAACAGAAGGGAGAGATGAGGAAAACACAGAGGTGGATTCTTGAAAATTCATAGTAATCTTCAGGCAAAGATCACCAATACCAACAACCTGTTGGCAAGCTCATCAATGCCAGTATCTCATAATAGAAAGAGATTTTGCATATAATAAAACCACTACCACCATACAATAATCACTTTAATGGCTTCTCTAATAAAATTTAAGTTGAATCAGAAAAGTGGAGTCCTTAAAAATAATTTTTAAAAGAATTCATGGCACTTCATTTAAAAAAAATAATTGGCATTTCCATGGTGGGCACAAATTCTCTCACACTGAATGACTAGAAAATTTTTTTAACCCTACTTTGCAATAATCACATATGTAACCAATCAATATGTAACTAGTTTAAAAAGTCCATTAAGTATAATGCAACAGGAAAAGAAAACTAAAACAATGTAAATTTGACTGTCCCCAAAACAAAGATAAATTTTTGAGGAGAAATGCCTGACAGTAAAATACAGAGTGGTATAAGCTGCTGTAAAATAAAATAAGTAAATAAGCCTTGAATTTTAAACAAACCAAAAGTACTTATTTTTCTTTTCTCTGTCACCAGATTTTAATCTATCGGCTTTTAGCCTCTGACCAGCAACCACAATAAAACAAAGTTAAATAAAGTGGGCTTCACTTGTATTCAAAAGCATTTATAGAAATCAAGTGAGAGAGACAAAATATTTTTCAAAGGATAACTTCAGAATGATCTCTCTTCCTTGGTAACTGCAGAAGATGGCTTCTGAACTCTTCCAAATACCAAAAATGCTGTCATAAAAATAAAGAATTAAAAAATAGGGCAAAGTTTGGGAGACTACAACAATGCAGTCAACACTGAGACAGGTTCCCCAGCAAAAAGCCTTCAGCTTCAGTGGGTTCCTGCAGAACAAGTTGCTGGCTAAGAAGTTTTAAGAGAGTGTAAGGGAGGTGCTCACCATACGTAGCTCGTTAAGAACTCAGGGCCAGGAGCAGGCAGCCATGAACCCTCCTCCTCCCTCGTGCTCACCAACTACAAGTAAGAATACTGGCTGATCTTGGTGGGACTCAGCGGGTATCCAGTATAAATTGTTGAGCCTCGAGAAGACCCAATATAGGACTGGGTGGCAAACTGATGTTGGTACTGAGCAGGGGCCACGCTGGCAGAAGTGAGGAGGCTGGGCCCAACACTGACAGGGGCCTGGTGCACCAGAGTGCTGGGGTGAGTGGCATAGGCTGCAGCATGCCTCGAAGAACCCTGTGAGGAGAAAAGGTGAGCAATGGAGCTGGTGGAGCCCAACGCAGCAGCAGCAGAGGTGGGGGCAGCATACGTATACAGGTGAGGCTGGCTTGGCAGGTGAGCAGGGGCTGGGGCCAGGTGTGGGTGCCCCGTTGAGTGTAGTGGGCTGCCATGCTGGAAGGCGTAAGACGCCTGGGAGAGCGGGGCCACAAACGCCTGCTGTCTGCGGGGAGCAGGGTTGTTGCTTCTTTCCTGCGAGGTTGGAACGGACGAGGACTGCTGGTTCTGGAAAGAGGAAGAAGGGAATGAGGAATCTTGAGGTCACTCTGGTTTGGGGCACCAAAGGCCAAGTTAAAAGTGGAGGTTCTGGCGTGTATTATTTCTGAACTGCCATGGCACAGGATCTCCCAGATTGGCAATGAATGTTGTCAGAAACCAGCCACACATCCCTCTGCCTTCTGGAAGAGTAAATCCTAACCTGGTTCAGATGGCAGCAGTTTGATCTCATGTATGACAGTATCAAGGGTTCATCAGGTTACCCATTACTACAACTTAGGTAACTATTAACTCACTGTATTCTAGGGTCAGTGATTTTTTATTTTTCCTAACCTTTCTTGCCATTGTTTTAAGTTCTTCACATCCCTCTTGAAATGTGGAGTCTAAAACACATGCACTACCTCAAACTTACATGTGTACTTGCATGTGCTCTCTTCTCTCACACATAGTCACACCCTCATCTTGACACGTTTTCACTACTGGTAGACATCATACAAATACCAGAGTTTAGCTGAGAAAAGAGTGAACACAAACTAAAATAAAGTGACCCTCACTACCCATGAGATCAGATGGCAGGGGGTGGGGAGGAAATCCCAGACTCCAGCAACATGTAGGATTAAAACAGTTGATTTAAGTGCAAAAGAATTTCCCTGTTTCATGACTCAAGCAATGAAGGTGGGGCTCAGGATACTTATTATCTAAATACAGTGATGGTGAACCTTTTAGCGCTTTCAATGATATAAACAGCCTGCTGCGGCATGCATGCCATAGGGCCACCATCACGAACCTAGGATATAAAGGAAGAGAATCCAGCCTTGAAGTATATAGTAGTGCAGAACCAGGCATGGATAAGCATCCTAGGCGCTTTCTAAATTCCAGACATTTCTCTGATCTTCCAGGCTAAACCATGTAAGTCTGATGGAAAATCTGGAACATACATCCCAAATGCATTCAGAGCAAATGAAGAGACAAGGCACAGGTGGATTTGCTGCAGGCCACACAACACCAAGTTTTCTGACACAAAAGGAGCTTAATTTGGCTTTATTCAGCAGTCCAGACAGGAGCAAGGTTCCCCAGACAGTAACCACAGGGGGAGCCCCACACAAAAGCAGCCCCCAGCGCTTACCTGGCTTAGGTTGAGTGGCTGCGCTGCGCTGGCCGCACCACGTTGAGCTCGATACCCTGTGGGGGTGATACAGCATCCAGATGACTGCCCACTCACTGAAGCCACTGGCTTGGTCTTACTGCTTAGGAGACCTAAAAAGGAGCCAGAGCTTAGTATCGCTGAATCTCAGCTAGCATCACATTAGTTAGTCCACGTTTGTAAGTAATTTGCAAAACTCTCAAGTGTATCTTACTTCCTCGATTACATTTATACCAGAAGAACAGAAACTGCTGTCTTGCCACATAGGATCCTCAAAAGATTTACTTGAGTAAATGCTATCTAATCCTGTTACATACAGGAAACCCAATAGAAATACAAACATCAGACAGTCCCTACCCCCAAGGAGCCTGTAATATGATGTAGGATGGGATTAAACAAGTACAGAAATGATAATACGGAGCTGAGAAAGATAATGGTATTTCTTAGGATATTTAAATGTCAAAAGACTTTAAAGGACAAGCAAGATCCTCTCTTGTTGAATATGTACTGTGTCCAAATTCTAAGAAATTACAAGATAGCTGAATATAAAATTTTGCTTCCTTTAGTGTTCCAACAGGAAAACTGGTACATTTATTCAGTTACTTGTGAGACAGCTATATTCTTGGGGCCCAGGGGTGGAGAGAGGTCCTAATAATTCTATTCAGCAGCCAAGCATCAGAAAGTTCTACTTTGTCTTTAGCAGGACCATTTGACTACTACTGAGGAGAACCATATTGAGGCTTAACAGAATATTCTCAAATCAGAACCCTGTTTATGCCTATAGCAGTAACATAATCCATAATAAAACACTATTTATGCAAGTACAACACAGATGTCTGTGCTAACACCAAAAACTTATCCAACCCTTCCTCAGTGTAAAGTTACCACTAGGAGGCAGCTGCCTAGACAAGACTTCATTTCTGGGACTTTCTTGCATCTGGGTGAGAAATGTAAGTAGTGTTCAGTATTCTAGGCTAACTAGATTAAGAGTGGAGGTTGGCCACCACCAAAGTTTCTTTTCCATACAGACTGGGTGCGCCAAGGATCCCAAGGTGCTGGTCCTTACCCTACTGCAGCCCTACCAACCAGGAACACTTGCATTTGAAAGTTTTATGAGTAAAAAACTTCTAATATGATCAGCATGGAAACATGGGGATTTGTTAATGCAGCTAGTATTGCTCAAGTCACACAACAGCTGACTCAGGGAGACTACATGCAGCATCTAAAAGAGCAAAGAGGACGGCAGTAATTAGGCTGATAATAAAACCAAAAAAAAGCATCTGAAGGACATGCTGTTTTCAAAAAAACTTTTACAGTCATTTTCAATATTACCAAGTCCAGTTCTCATCTAGATTGCCAAATTCGAATCATGCATGGCAAATCTAGCTGCTTGCTAATTCTCTAATTGTTCCTGCTACACAATATGTCTTGTCTACTTTCTCCCACCAACAGTGACTGTGTCAGAGAGACTGACTCCACTGATACCATTTTTATATTAATCTAAACAAAATAAACATAGGCAAAATGATGGCAAAAATAATCTCATATCCCAGGGAACTGACTTCTGAATTAACTATTTGAAAATATTTAAGCCAGTAGTCTTGATCACTGGCAAAAATACTAAGCATAAACACATCCAACGAAAATTCAATTCTAGCTATAAAGACACCACTTACTTGAGGCCTGGGTTGCTACGGTGCAGTCACCAAGCTGAGTTTTCAGTGGAGGCACAATGATAGTGCGAGTGCCAGCACCATCTGCCATAACTCTGCCAGGGCCTTCCAGAAGTGGTCCATTATTGCCCCGGAGAGCACTCAGGGTATCAGTGCAATACGGGCTGCTCAAGGAAGAGTCAGAGTCTGGAGAATCATTAACAGTGACATAACTGATGACGTTAGACCTCGGCTTCAGGCCAGAGCTGAGGGAAGAAAATACATGAAAATTCAACTGCCTTTTTAAGCAACATGTCTTAGATGTCCCTCAATCTCTCACGTTAATGATGATAATGACAATAATAGCAGCAAACTTCTAAGTACCTATTATGTATGAGGCACTATTCTCATGCTCTACACCTATCTCAGTGAATCGCTACAACAATCCTGAGAAGGAGGTACTATTATCCTCATTTTGCAGGTGACGAAACTGAGGCAAAAGGAAATTAAGGAACTTGACCAAGGTCACATAAAGAATGAATGGTAAGACAGGATTCAGACCCAAGACAGAATGACTCCAGCGTCCACACCTATTCGATGTTGCCTCTTAGCCTTTTTATTTACAGTTATTTCATTAATATTTTTCCTACCACCTCTCTAGGCTATTAATCACTCCTTACTATCTCTAACCAAACTTCTCATCATGTTTGTTTGTTTTAAAGGTTCCTTCACTGGTTATTACCTTATTAACTTTAGCTTTTCCTAATTTTGTAACAGGCTGGGCTGCAGTCCAAGAACTCATGTCGTCTATACCCCTACACAATTTTTGTTACTCTTTCTCTTTTCCAAATCAATACGATGACCACTTTGAAAACTTAGCTTTTAAGCTACCATTTTAAAAACAGCCCTTCTAAACTAATAGGCTCTAAATTCCTTTTACTCTTGCAAGTTAGTTTAAATTTCACTTACACATGATTTTGTAAAGTCTCCTAAATTACTCTCCTGTGTGAATCCTATCTTCTGAGATAAAAGCAGGGGTATTTCCTCTACGAAATGCCGAACACCAAAGTCCAGGGAAGAACATAAGAAAAAAAAATCAAGGCAACTGACCACACACTAAGAGAGAAATGCATATCAAAGTTCTTAAACTTAACCCACTCCCTTTTAGTGAACAGCCCAGCTAAGGACTTCAATTACGGTGCTAGAATAAGAGGAATAATTTGGCATTTAAATTCTTCAGCTTTCAGGCCAACATAGCAGAAGGGGAAAAGAAAACACTCCTAACTTTTTCCAAAGAGGTTTTTGCAGATTAAGAAATTGCATGAATTTCAAATAGTCCCTTATCTACCTGCTCATTCCAATTAACTATTGTTCATATGCTTCTGTTATGCTGTTTTCAGACATAATGCTCCTTGAAGGCAAGGCTCATGCCTATAGTATAATGTGTATTCCAAGGCAGTACAGACTAACAACTTGATATAAACCTTCTCTCTACCTACCTAATGGAATAGGTTATAATATAATAGAAAACTTGACAATGTAAATGTTTTGGCTGATTCATGCAAGGCCATACTCCATTCATTCATATATATATATTGGTCCAAATTAGGCTACTTGCCTAATGCCAATAGTTTAAACCCAACAGAACCAAAAACCATTCACCTATCTTACCTACTGGGCTTATATTTATTGTCCTCTTCCTCATCAGTGTCACTTCGGATGGTGATGACACTTACAGGAGGGCTGGGGGTATCTGGAATGACGATTGGCTGATGCTGATCTTGGACAGGGACTAGGGAATTGTAAGAAGATGTGGTGCGGAGAGGACTGCTCCCAACCAGAGAATAGACTTGGGAAGGCAGAACATCCAGAGAGGATCTGTAGGAAAGGTTCACAGGGAAAATTGGTTCAGTCCGTGGCCTCCGAAATTACAAATCTTTGCTCTACACTGTTATCCAATTTTTTACCTCATCATTAAGCTAATATACTCAACTATAAACATCTTAATGAAAAATTAATTGCTCTGGTAAGATAAAAAGAAAATTTACTTTTATGTCCTCTATCTAAGGCTTAAATTTCACTATACACAAAGGGGGCAGAAAAATAAAAATATCATAAAGGCAGCATGCATTCAAAGTGGCAGCAAAGAAAAAGGATGACATAACAAGGACATACCCAGGTGAAAAGGTTAACTGTTGTTCAACCTGGCAGCTACTTGCTGCTTCATGCCAAAAATATCTGCACCACAACACTGTAAATGCTAGAGAACATCTCTCTCAAACTTGCACAGCTTTAGCCATCAGTTCTAACACACGCTTACTTGGAAGACACTGGAGCAGACTGCTTATTCTTCTTTGAAGGAAGGGAACTGGATTGTTGTTGTCTGACAACATGAGCAACGCCGACATTCAGGGGCTGGGCAGTGGCCAGTGTCACGTGGTTAGTCAGCAAGGATGGCTGCTGCATGATAGTGCTGTACTGGCTGCCATGAGAGTGGGCATTCCTGTACCAACGGAAGCAACAGAAGAGTGAAACAAGACTACTAGAAATAGGTATTAAAAACAACTGAGACAACTAAATACAGCTGCATTTTATTTGTAAAGTCAGGTACCAGGACTGCAAGGTTTTAGGATTGTACTATTTCATTTCTCATTGCTAAAGACTTTCTTTCAATATGGAGTAAATAACTTGACCTTAGAATTTATTGTTTTCCTATACTCCAAGTTTTCTTGTAATTCCATCCTGTAGTCTAATATGAACTGTTTTCTTAAAGGATTTCAAATAGAGTTAAAATTTCCCTTTACTTCCTACTCTCTCCTCAGTATTACATGCTCCTACCCCTAAAGGATCTGCCCTTGAAAAATCTCAGAGAACAACAGAGGGTACTCGCCTCCAGTCTGCTAGCTGCTGGCCACTCCCCATGGCCTCTGGAATTACTGCTGTGGGCTGGACAGAGTTGTGTAGTGCTACCCCAGGCAACTGTTGCCAAGTTGAAGGCAGGAGAATTTGCTGAGTTCCTCCAGGCCAAGCTTGCTGTAAGGAAACACACAGAAAATATCCAGATTTGACTCATTCTTGCCTTTTCTTCTGTTTTTTGATGAAAGAAAAAAAATCTGTATCTTAAAAAAAGTTGCTTATAGATTGTTAACTTGCAGAGATTAAAAAAGAAATGGTCAGAGGGCCTCATGACTACAAGTCTTAGGGAAGACAAAGAGAACATATTGCTTTCTCTTGGCTTCCTCTATAACCTGGCCACCAGGGTACTACAAAATGAAGATCCCTGCAGTTATAAGTTTCTGTTACACTAAAGACAAAAAGAGTCTGAAGTTCAGAGGCAGTAAGCTCTGGCTAAATTTCAGAAGTATCATTTTTGCAAAAATTGTAAAACATATATATCCCTAAAGAAAGTTAAGCAGAATCCCTTGGAATTGAAAACTTGAAATTCTAAAGTCTGAGCACCAATCAGATAAGACAGGAGGTTAACTTCAACCTATTAAACAAGCCAGAATTGTTCCCTTTCAGAAGGGCAGTAAGTAGTACTCAGAAAATGGAGCCAGATGAAGATGACCAAAGGTGAAATCCTTTAGCAAACAAATTTATGCCAGCAGGAGTAAGTTAATACCATCATTTATAGCCAAATGATAGAATTAAAAAATAAGCAATAAATAAAATATCTAAGAAATAGATGCAGAAAGCATATTGTTTCGGGCCAAGGGTTTAGCTCAGTGGTTCTACCTCCTGCCTCGCAAATGCAAGGACCCGAGTTCGATCCCCGGTACCAAAAAAACAAAAAACCAAAAAACTTCGAAAGCATATTGTTTCAATATTTACCTAAAACATATTTGTTTTAATAATCACCTAAAACATGTATCATTTATAGAAACATACTTCAACATAAAAACTAATCACTATAAGAAAATATGATTTTAGCAAGACATGTCACTTGCAATAGAGCAACAAATGTTTTCTGTACTTCTTACAGAAATTCTGGCATTTTCTGAACAAAGGGAAACAGATTTGGAAGTTTCCTCTTTAAACTTGAATTCTGCAGTACAATTACCTACAATTCTTGAGTACATATGGTTCTGTTTCATGTATTTCAAACTGCAAGGCCACCAACACAGTTTTATATATTTCTGCAAGTAACAGATCCACGTGTCACAAACACCGGTTCCAAACAAGAAAGAAGGCTTCAAAGCAGATAAACTGCAAACACGCCTGCTACCATACGCAGAATTTAAAACAAAATAAAACAAAACAGAAAATAAGAGAAGTAATGTTAAGTCACACCATGCGTCTTTTCCATAAGCCAACACCTGCACAAGACAAAGCATGTAGTTTAATACAAAGCAAGAAATAACATTCCAATGTGAGGCAGAAATCTGGTGTTCCAAGCGACGAACTGTTTTGACAGAGGAAGAACAAAAATATGCAAAGCTTAGCAAATGGCTAATGCAACTGAAGAAAAGCAGCAAAGAAGTGTCAGCTAACATCCTCAATCTCCAAACTGTAGGTGAGTAAGTTAAAACCAGCAGCCTGGATCAACCCAAGTTGGATCTGATTCCCTTGCACTTGGGCTTTATGCCTAATCTGGAAGTGACAAAGACTTTTAAAATGAAAACCAAGTAAGTTCCAGCCAAGTTAGTTTCTGGAGATGTTTTACTCACACGAGTAAGTACATGAGAAACAGCAAAAGAAATTTAATGCTACTTTGAAAGATGAGAAATATCAGGATTCAATATTATCAATTAGGTTTGAAAGTGCTTACTTTATTTTAAATTTCAAATAACAAAATGCTGGATATTCAGTAAAAATAAAACTTTGAACTCCCCCCAATAAAACAAACCATTCAAAAATCACCCTGAAGGTTACAAATACTGAATACGCCTCAGACTCCTGGGGCTTTTTCCTCTCTTTAAGCCTGATGTCACTACAACTACAGCTATGTTCACTGCCTTTAATAACAAAGATACTAGGTCGGGGAGTTAGCTTAGTGGTTTAACCACTTGCCTTGCAAGACCAAGGTCCTGAGTTCGATCCCTGGTACAAAAAAACAAAACAAAAACAAAAAACCAAACAAACAAAAAAACCCAAAGATACTATATTTTTATATAGTTTGTAAAACCTATTTTCATCTTTGTATTAAGACCCTACTTGTAGAATAGTTAATTTCTCCAAAAATCCCTAAAAGTTCACCCTTAACTTCAATCAAAAATATGACCTACAAGTACATTCTAAAGGGAACATTTTTAAATGATCAGAGGCTACTACCGATTATAAGTGTCAAAAAGAGCTATCTTTATGTAGTCACAGAAGGAAGGTTAATGTAAACTCAGAAAGCAATATATTAAGAGTACCTTAAAGCATTTCCACATGCGCAAAAGTTTTAGCTGCTCAAAAAAGCAAAAAAGCAAAAAAAAAAGAAAAGAAAGGAAAGGAAAGCTAACTTGCCAAGGAGATCAAATTTTGGCCATCCGGGTACCTGCAGCAGAGCCAAACTAAAGGCTATTTCTTTCATTCTTACGGAATGGAAAGTAAAAGGGCAGATAACAGGTAATAGTGTTGAAGCTCTTTTGAGGCTACACCAAGAGCACTTACCACACTAGCCTGGCAAAAAAAGAATCCAAGAGGCTCCTTACAGAGCCACACTGACCACAGACAGTGCTTCAGCAAATGTTGGGGAGGAAAACAATGAGACAGTAAAGACGTAGCAAGAACACAGCCACAAGATGGCACATGCTTCCATGCCCTCTGCAAAGACCAAGATAAAAAAATTGTTTGCAAAAATAAACCAGAAGAAAACAGAACAAAAACAAATAGGAAAAAATAAAAAAGAAAGAAACCAAAGAAACTCCGTTAGTAACACAATCAAGTGAGGGAATTACCAGTACAGCAGCAGTCTGTTCAACCAGCGCCGGCCGGCCGGCTGCGCAGCTCAGAGTAAAGGGCACTGCATACTGCGGTGTGATGGTGGCTACTTGAGGGTGGAGAGTTGCTACCATTAGTGGTGTACAGCTTCCCTGAAACGTAGATTAGGCAGGTGAGTGAAACAAACATTGAGGCAGAGTATCTGGATCAGAAGGTTCTCATTCCCCATGTTATTACTGACAATGAAGTAATTTCATATCACCTAAAATCCATGTACTAACACAAAACCTTCACTCTTCAAAGCACTGGCCCACTACGTTGAATGCTAATATGGCCTAGACAAGAAAAATGTAGCAATCTTTCTTGGGCCAGATTCAAGGGATCAATTCTATAAAACAAAGACATTTAGTGTATGAAGAAGTCTTCATTTTACTCATAAAATAGGGTTCTTGGATTCCAGAATTGCCTATGTCAAAATTTCCTAGGCCAAAAACATTTACATAGAGAACTTCAAAAGTAAAAGTTTTTTTTTTTTAATTATATAAGTGTTTCGTGATTTTCTTCATCAGCTTAATTTCATATTCATGAGAAGTACAATGTTTTCAAGATTTCTACAGTCTGGCTAAACACAAGAAATGAAAGAATGAAATACTTGAAGATTCATCCTGATGTAATTTAGCCTCTCAACTGTGATATAATTCTGTAAGTAGGCAAAAGGGACATCAAAGAAGCACAGTGGAACCTTGTTACTTTAGAATACAAAATTTTACCTGAGCACAGTGGCACACACCTGTCATCCTAGCCCTCTGAAAGGGTGAGACATGAGGATTGAGAATTCCAGCCCACCCTGGGCAACTTAGTGACTGAGACTCTTTCTCAAAAAAATTTTTAAAGAGCTGGGCATGCAGCTCACTATGAAGGTTCTGGTTCAATCCCCAGCACCACATGAATTTACATACACACACACACACACACACACACACACACACATACACACACACTCGCATGCACACATTGTTAAGATATTTGGGAGGGTGCAGGGACATGCCTCATTCCACAAACAGAATAAACTTTCTCAGGAGACCAATTCTCAGTGTCTGAACATCTTCCTTCAAGACTAAGAAGATACTGGCAGAGTTGTAATAATGTTAGGAATGAGTATATTGTTCAATTATAGATGTTTCCTTTTAAGACCACTGAATCATGACCAAGAAAGAGCTTATATTCAAAGCAAACACCATTTTCTAGAACAAAATATCTTTCTCAACAGTGCTTTAGCGCGAATGTGCACCTGCACCGCTCCAGCTTTTACCTGCGTAAGAACTCCTGACTGTATCTGCAGCGGCTGAGCAGCCGGCGCCTGGGGTACAATTGGCACAGCATTATCCATCCTCACAGGGAATCCAGAGTGTTTTGTTGTTGCTTGCAGACCAGCTGGGGAAAACAACACAGTTAAATGGCTTTTCCGAGTCTGAGAGTACTATTTGTTTTGGGGACTTTTATGGTTTATTTTTAGCTTTTCCACACACAGGTTTTAGTTTTAAACACTTGAGCCAAAGGAAGTTTCATTCTTGGAAGACTTGAGACTTAAGAAAAGGGAGACTTGGTTCCTTTTAGGGTAGATTAATGCAAAAGACACATGATACAAAGAGCTGGTTTAAGGGAATCCTAAAATTTTTTTGAAATGTAATAAATTTAAAAGACAATATTCATCCCATTCCCATCAACAGTATAGTCAAAAACAAACAAAAAACTTCACTTAATAAGTTACATTCATCTTTTAATTCATGGTATGGGGGAGTGACAAGTGGTTGTAAAACTAATGTTTTAAAAACAAAGATGAATATAATTGTAATTTTTGATTAAATTATGAAAAGCTTAGTAATTTATAATCTAAGTTCTCCTTTTGTTTAGAATGCTTTAAAGTATGTTTTTTCCTTACTCCTCAAAAAATACAAGCTAGTTCATACTTATTCACATATTTTATCTCTAATCAACAGAAAAATTAAGAAATCATGCCCAGGACAAAAATATTTAAAAAGCAGACATTTTAGCTTCTGGAAACCTTCTTCTACTTATTTTATAATCTGCTCTTCACTGACAGCTTTCTAATACAGCTCATCTGTGATTAAAGGACAGCCGGCAAAACCAAGAACTCTGCTGTCTTTAAAACAGTGACTACAGAGCCAGGGATTTAGCTCAGTGGTACTGCCGTCTGTCTAAAACAGTGATTATGTCTTATCTTTTTATTCATTATGCTCTTGGCACAAATGGCAACTAAGTATTTCCTATAAATAGGAATATTTCATTCTGTAAAAAAAGAGGGACTTCAAGACAGTTCTCTTTTACCAAGACGCAAGAGCCCTCAAAGGCTACCCTATCAAAACTTTCCATACAAAAAAAAATAAGAACCAAGAGATTTGTCATGCAAAGGTATAAGATCCCAATGATAAATGTAGCTGTACTGTATACTTGAAAAAAAATTCTATACAGAGAATGTTTGTTATTCCTGTAATCCACTAATCCATTAATTCTGTCAAACAAGAATAGAAATATTTTAAGTAGAAGACTCCATCAGTAACATTTCCTAAGCTATCACCAACTACTTTCTCTTAATATTACTACAGAGGCATCAAAGAAGCATAACTCATAAACCGTAACACTACTTTTGTCCATCTTCCAATTTCCACTTCAATAATTTGAGTAATTTAGTAAACAAGATGTCATTACGAAAAATCCATTTGAGAAAAGTACAAAGATGGACTAGTTTAAAACAGCCTAATGACATCTTTAAAAAAAATACTATTTAGCGCAGCGATTCTGCCGCTTGCCACGCAAGTTCAAGGACCTGAGTTCAATCCCCAGTACCAAAAAAAAAAAAAAAAAAATCCCTACTACTTATGTGACTATAAAAAGTAACAAGCGAAGATATCAAAATTAAAAAGTTGTTAATGAGGCTTCCTTTCACAATGCCATCTAATAAGAAAGCTAAACAACACACAATTCTTTATAGTCCCAGGACACATGGCTAACTTTAATGTTACTGAAATAGCCTCCTACAAAGTGGTATAATGGAGGAGGCAAAATTTAGAAGGAAATGTTCTCCACAGAAGTTCATCTATGATTCCCAGAGCAATAAAGTATAAAAGAACAAAATTACAGAATAGTCACCACTGAGCAAAATATATTTCTACTCTGCTCAAGTGGAATACTATGGAAAGTAATTTACAGTACAAATGTGACTCGAGTATTGGATTGCTAGAGCTACTTGGGCTCAAGCACAGGAGCAGTCAAGCTAGGTTAAAACTAGGTGCTGCTTTCCACCACAAATGAAAACAGAGTAACAATGGCAACACTTTGGGAAGGATGTCCCTGAATTCTGACCTAGAAGAGGTCTAAAGTTTTGTTTTTGGTAATTTTTGTTCTATTAAATATAGCCCAATAAATATGCAGACTCTTGGAAGTATGGAAAGAAGAGAAAAACTGCCAAATTGAAGTTTGGGTGTATTGTGAAAGAACGGATGGTGAATGGAAAGTGGGCAACCTGGAATAGAGGACTGTGGGTAGAAATGAGCCCAGTGGGATGGCTGGCAGGTTGACCAATTCTTTACAGATATTCAAGATTAAATACTAAAAGGCAATATGGAGTAACACTTCAAAATGAGCATGTGATGAATCCTACTGCCTAGGTTCAAAACATTGTTCGCTGTAAACAGTTACGAGGCTTTGGGCAGATGTGCATGTCCTATTTATAAATTGGGATAATGACACTATCTATTCCCTGGGTTGTTTCTGGGGATAAATTAATACATGTAAAACAACTTAGAAATTCTCTGGCATATGGCAATACATATCAGGTATCATCAACACCACCTTAATTTCAAAACTCCCCTTCATTTGAAAATTTTTAAATTTGCTCTATTAGCTCTTTAGGCTATTTATATTTCTAAATAGCAAAAAATTGTCTAAAGCTTACACTTACCTAATTATACCAAAAGAGACTAATTTACTTTCCCTTTCTACCTTTTCAGTTTATTTTGTTTTGTTCAAGAGACTTAAATGTTATTCTGTTTCACCGCTTAAATATCATGAGAATCAGCCTAAAACTTCAGCACCCCACATCTGAAAATCGTTTCACTGAACAATCAGTCTACCTCCAAAAACCCAAAGTACAAAATTTCCTATTATAAAGCATATGTAAGAAGTAACTGGTAAGTTAGGCTAGATTTGCATTTACAGATTTTGAATCTGCTCCTCTGCTCTCCCCGTGGGTTGTCCCTGGTTTAGATCGCTATTGCTCTCCTGTCCTCCAGGTAATCTCTCAGTCTCCCCCAGCCCCTTATTTCCTTCTGCTTGCTCCAACTCTGTCAGAAACCAAACAAACAACAGAATCAGTCAATAAGCAACTAAAGTAAAAAGATAAAAATGTTACCTGCTTCTATGTAAGTGCTATAAGAAGTCTAAATCCTACTTTATTCCCACAAAGTACTGACACTGACTTTTTTCCCTCTGGTATTGGGGATTGAACTTGGGACCTTGCGTTTGCAAGGCAGGTGGTGGAACCACTGAGCTAAAACTAAGTGCACTGTCAGGAAATACCTATAAAATAATTTTAACTTTCTGTATGTAACACATGGAGTCAGCCTGTTTCTTCAGCTGTTTTGTTCCTTTGTTAACAGAAGTTTACAAGAATAATATTAAGTCATAAACTGAAGAAGATATTGTAATTTTCCCCCCTGGTATTGGGGATTGAACTCAGGACCTTGCACTTCCAAGATAGGCACAGCACCACTGAGCTAAATCCCTGGCCCTTAATATCCCTGGCCCTAAATCCCTGGCCCCACCTAAGTACCTCAGCTTGCAGAATTTTTCAGTTAAATAAATAATGATCTTTATTACTAAATATAAGAGAGTTCTACATTCTTAATATGATTTTTAGCTTTTAGAATAAAATAACATTTTATTTGGGTGATTTTTTCATAATGGAATGATATAGAAAATTAGACACTATATAGCAATTCTGCTTAAAACAAATTTTTCAAATATATACATTCTGCCTACTGCACAATACAGGCTTATGCAAGATACATGATATAAATGCAAGGTCTCTCTCAAGGGGCAAAAAAACTGGTATTAGGAAATTCGATTAAGGAAATAAACTGAGCTCCTACAATATATCAGATAGAAAATAATAAGAGAGATAACCAAAGTAAAAAGGAAAAATACACCTTTTCATATCATTCAATTTCAGTTATTATTATCATCAGAGACAGTTTAAAATTGTCAAAGATAACAACTAAGCAACTAGATCTGCCCAAAGCAGGCAGGTCCAAAAAAATACCGTATGATACAGGAATTTCTCCACTTACTTTGAAAAGCAGGTGGACACACTATAAAAGTTTGTTGGAATGGATCTGTCTGAGTGCAAATCTGGGTGGTTCCAGGCTGCAAGGAAACACTTTGTTGGGCAACTCCAGGAACTGGTGCTGCAGATGACGGGTACAAAGCTGACTGGTAATTTAACAGTGAGACATCTGAATTAGCCAGAGAAAGAGTAGCAGCTGCTGCAGTAGAACTGGAGGCGAGAACACTGGCCTAAAAAAAAAGAATCAATTTGTACACTGATATAAAATGAAGATAGACAGTATTTCACATGTATTTACAAATATTACACAGAATCTATCCAGAACAATTCCGACCAAACCATCAAAACATAACATGAACTGTCTTTGAAATAACTTTCTGCTTAACAAATTTCCTCAACCCCTAAATTTAAGTATACTACAAAGTCCTGTACTGATTACAGCTACACAAACTTCAACAACTTATGCACAAAAATTGCTGCATGGAAAATCCAAGCAATCTGACATGCTCTTAACTTAAAAAGCAGACCTCACTAAGAAACTGGGAAGCTTACATCTTCAGAAAGAAATGTAAATATCACCGGTTAGCAAATAAATGCAAAATCATCTTTAATGTTAATTATTCAAAATACCCAGCGGTGAGTAATATAAAATTTTTCTCCTAACCAGGAGAGAGTCATTTGGCTAAAATTAATAACACTAACAGCATTAAGTAGTACAACTGACCTTATTTAACTATGTTAAGTAAGATTCATGAGAGCATGGAATAGGATTTAATTTTCTCAATATGTGACCACTGGGTATTATCAGTCTAACTTATCTTCCATCACTTTTGCCAACTAGAAAGTTCTTAAGCCATAAGAACACCAAAACAAAGACTAGTTTCTTTACTTCACCCTGTACTCTTAACTAGTTTCTATCCTACTTAAGCTCGAGTTTCCAAAATCATTTACTGAATACCTGATTGTGCACTGTATTGAGCTGGTTGCTGAAGCTCATGGTTAGATTTGTGCTTGTATTTGGGGCAACATGTGTAGTGAAGGGACTCTTGATCTGACTCACTGTATCATACATATGAACCCTCCGCTTGCAGATCTCCATGTTCTGGAAGCAAGACTTAACACTGAAAGAGATTAAGTACACTAAGTGAATGCTGAAACTTAAATAGAAAACAACTTAAAGACAAATATCAAAGTTTTTTAAAGAACTTTCAAAAAAAAAGATTCAAGTCTTTATAATCATAAAAAATACACATCTCATTTTTAATTTCATGCTTTTTCAATGAGAAAGAAAAGCATCGTGAGCCACATACATGAGCACCAAAACTGCTACTAACTTGACAGTTCTATGACGGATGGAAAAGCGTCGGACTATACCATACTCACTGATTGCTATGTGGAAAATCCAGAAGGTGAGTCATTGTCACAAACTGATGGTTAAGAGTTTTCAGGGGAGTGATTCTCTTATCTGCATCAATTGTTAGCATTTTTTTTAACAAATCAATGTATTCTCTTCGATCAGCCTTCTCTGCCAACATGTCTGTTCCCTCTAAGTCCGTAGACATATTCACCTTCCAAGGAAATTTTAGAAATATTACAGTTCTTTACTTAAATATACATTAAAGCAATTAACACACTGGCTTTTCTCTCCAAAAGAGAAAAAGTAAACATTTCATGTCAGCATTTGAGATAAAAGAAAGCTGGGGAAATGCTTTTCATCACACTATAATTTTCACAGGTGAAAACTTTTGTTATACTGAGAGGTAGACTAAAGCCAAATAAATTGTTTTAAAAATTTTGGAAGAGCTGAGGATTTAGGTCCGTGGTTCTGCTGCCTGCCTTGTAAGCACAAGATTCCAAGTTTGATCCCCAGTACCAAAAAAAAAAAAAAAAAATTTTTTTTGGAATAAATAAGCAGAAGTGATTATTACTTAAATATAAAAGTTTCTATTGAAAAGGTTAAATGAGGGCCGGGAATTTAGCTCAGCAGTTCAGTGGCCTGCCTTGCAAACACAAGGACCCGAGTTCAATCCCCAGTACCAAAAAAAAAAAAAAAAAAAAAAAAAGGTTAAAGGACATAGTAAGTATAAAGTGTTTTTAAACAGTTTAGAACATAATAAGTACTCAATAAATGTTAGTTCTTTTTTAAATTAATTTTATTGGTACATTTAAGGTATATAATGACATTCGTCTAAGAACTTTGCACCTTTACATGCTCCATCTTGGTTCTTATTTTTTTCCCCATCCCCCTGCCCCTGCTTTAACTCTCCCTGCCTATCTATAAAGACTGTTTTCATTTTTTTCATCTTCTCATATTAATTCCATTCCCTTCTTTCTTTTTCCCTACCCCTCCCGCTTCCCCTTCCCCTTTACACCTTTTCTTCCTATTTCATATTACCTATTATACCTTTTAGTCCTTATTTACACTATCAGTTTCTTATACTAGAGAAATTATTCAGTATTTATACGTGTGTCATATTTATTTCACTTAAGAGCACGGCCTCAATGTGCATCAATTTAGCTATGTCTCAAATGTTAGTTCTTATGTTATTATTTAACAGTGAAAATAGGACAAGAGAAACCTTCATAAACAATATTTTAAAATATTAGCCAGGCATGGCGGCACACACTTGCTATCCCAGAATTCTGAGAGGCTGAGGCAGGAGGATTACAAATTCAAGACCAGAATGGGAAACTTAGCAACTTAGCAATTTAACAAGGCCTGGTCTCCCATCAAAAATAAAAATGGTTGGGAATGTAGCTAAGTGCAAAACACCTGGGTTCAATTCTTAATATCCCCCTCAAAATATATGTATATAAAACAAAATAAAATACACATAGGCTAGGTGTGGCGGCACACGCCTGTAATCCCAGCACTCGGGAGGCTAAGGCAGGAGGATCGCTGTGAGTTCAAGACCAGCCTGGGCTACATAGTGAGTTCCTGGTCAGTCTCAACTATGTAGTGAGACCCTGTCTCAAAACAACAAACAACAACAACAACAACAACAACAAAAGATAACAATGCTAGACTGGGTGGCAGCAGAATTGGAAACCTGGTCTGACGTGCTGGGCATAACTTTTTTGGTAGAAACTGAAAACAAGTAACTAAAAATACAGATTATGGGTTGGGGATATAGCTCAGTATCACCACACCTGCAAGTGCAAGGTCCTGAGTTTGATCCCTGGTACCACAAAGAAAAAAACAAACGACAGACTAAATGTATCTCTAGTATAACCAGTAGAACTGTATCTCCGATTAAAGAAACATAAATGTCTGGCCTTCTAAAAGCTGCCATAGTTACCTGAGCCATGTCATCTAAACAATTAAAAATGTACTTCCGAGCCTCTTTTGATTTTATTCCAGTCTCCAATTCATGTTCTTCCGGAGTCTACAAAATAAGAATTTTTAAAAATTCCATCCGTATGTTATTCTGAAGTTTATAAATTAAAGCCAGCATATATAGATAAGTGTTGTCACTTTGCCAACCACAGATGGCACAGATTACAAACAGAAATTCTGAGGGAGCTGCAACCTTGCTCTCCAGTCACCCCTTCAATAATGATAAACATGCAAGCAATGATGCAGTACCCTCTTCAAAACTACTGGGTAGGAAAGGACGTCATCATTTTGCTCTTAAAACTCCCCTGAATGAACCAATATTTCAAATGCCGACTAGTCAATAAGCTCTGAAACAGACTGTCACAGAGTCCATCAAATTACTCAGAGATTTCTCAAATTAAAGGAAAAGGTTCAAAAGTAAAAGGTAGATACATGTGGAAAAAAAAAAAAAAAAAAAAAAAAAAAATTTTTTTGAAAGAAGAAAACACACAAGGCCTGAACATCAGCAGTCAGTATATTATGTTGTTTACCACATATATTGAGAATCCTCCACAAAAGTCATTACTAAATTTCTCTAATTCTTCATATTATTCAGTGGTGATACTATTCTCCACTCCCTCTCAACTGCTAATTCAAAATATACAAAATATCCTCAGCCAACTAAACTGGCACTTAATTGTCTTTCAACTAAAGATAAGGTGGTCAAATTGATAAATGAAATAATTTTTGAAAGTGTTTCCTCCTCCAAACATACCTTCCCCCTCTCTTTTGCCCCCTCAACCTCAAAAATGTATTAACTAAAGCCTGAGTCCAGGAATGGGCAGTAGAAAAGGGAAAACAGACCTTAAGCCTCCAAAGTGGGTACCCCAAATTAGGATCTCTGTTGAAAAACCTGGTAGTTTTTGTTCCAGCACTGAGAAGATATTCAGCTGGTAGGCCTTGTGTTTGAGAAATGTACCGAATCTGAAATATCAAAGTATCAAACATCATTTGGAATGAAAAAGGAAATTATGAAAGACTTTTACCTTAAAACATTAATTCTAGCCAAGAAAAAAAAATAGAAGGTACTGCCAAGAAATCACTTTAATCAGTACTATTGAAATTTAGCTCTAAATAATCTGCAAATATATATTAACCTATCCACAGGTAATACCCAAACATTCATTCAGTAATTACCACATTACTATACCTGCTGTTTAAAAAGAAACCCAAATTTTAAAGTTTTGAGTATAATCTTTTCTTTTGCTTTTTTGTTAAACTTTTTTTTTCCAGATTTAATTGAGTTTATTGGTACATTTTAGGGATACAGTACAGTTACATTCATTGTTGGGATCTTGTACCTCTACATGACAAGCCTTGATTCTCATTTTTTCCCCTTACCCTGCCCTCCCTTGTTAAACTTTTAATATGAAGTTCAGAAAACTTTAGATTTCTAGGACAGAACAGAATAGTTTCTAAAAACCCTTTCTTCATGAATTACTTTTTTTTTTCCTTTTTTCAAATGTATTACCAAATGAACTAAAAGATTAGGAAAATTTTTTCCTCAAACTTTCTTCCTGGGCAACCCATTTGGGACCCCTCCTGTCTCTCGGGAGCTGTTATTATTCCCCTTATTCCCCAATAAATTTTCCTACTCTTAAAAAAAAAAAAACCAACAACTTTCTTCCTTAGGTATTATATAGCTCTTATCAACTGCCCCTACTCTAAACAGAGACAAAGCTTTACTCTCATACCAGAAAATATAGGAATGAATTCAGCTTCTCTATCTATCTTTACATCAGTACAGGGCAGATACTACATTTCATTCAGTCAATATTTATTGATCACCTATTATGAACCAGGATAGAAGTTCTCAAAGTGTGATATGGGAGAACCCCTGAAGGTCTCCAAGACCTCTTCAGGAAGGTCTATGAATAAAAACTGTTTTCATAATAACGCTAAGATAACACTAAAAACTTCTTTGCTCTTTTCAACTCTCTTTTCACGGATATGCAATAGAGATTTCCAAAGATCACACGAGATGTCATTGCTCTCTTGGCTACGAAATGTGCTTGTGTATTTTTCTTTCATACAGATTTTGCTTTAAGGGTTGAGGGTGTAGATAGATGGTACAGTGTTTGGCTAGCATGCATGAGTCCCTCAGGTTCAATCCTTGGCATAAAAAAAAATTGTTTTATTATTCATTCATACCTATGTTTGCTTCTACAATTCTTTCCAACCAGGAAAGCAACAAAAGAGGTGATCTGCTTCTCTTCCTACCTTTGAAATCAACACAGAGCCTTTTTTTCTTTTAAACAGACCCACACCACGTATGAATGGTTACTTACAGCTAATGTGAAATCAGAAATTTATAAGCAAGGGAAAAATATCTTACTTTCCATTTCTCCTCACTCCCAAAATTTGCAGTTTTAAATTCTAATGCAGTATATATTGATAGATAGAAAATACATAAACAAAGATCTTTAGGAACCTCACTAATATCTTTCTTTATCCTCAATTTTTTAAGAATATAATGGAGTCAGTATCTACCGTTACAAGACAACTTTAGACAACAGCAAGCTCAAATCTATAGGAGTTAACCTAACTTGAAACCAATCTGTAACATCAGCAAAAACAAAACAAAACAAAACAAAAAAACCCTTAAATGTGTTAAAAACATTTTAAAGGTGTAATGTTTTTAAAATCCAGGACAAATTTTGTACAATGAAATAGGTGGACATGTGAAAATCTCACAATATACAAAGTAGAAAAGCACATTATAAATTAAATACACCTTAAATTTTCTTTGAGAATTACATTTCATTGACTCAAAGAGCCACATGTCTTCACATTAACATCTTTGAAATCAGGCTGTTAGAGCTGATGGCTATCAACATCTAAGCAGTAGCATTCTTAAGAGTTACAGAAAAATGGTGTGTCTCTCAATCAAAGGTATCTTTCTTACATTTGAAAAATTTGCTATTTTATATCCATAGTTTTTATTTTGAACAAAATGAGATACAGCCATTTTCATGTATTCTTTCAGTAAGTATTTACTAAGGCAAGCAGTGGTGATTTTACAAACACAGTTCTTGTTCTTACAGTACGCAGTCTAATAAGGGAGAAAAACATTGTATAATTCAAACTAAGTTAGCATTTGGGAGAAATGAAAATAAAGGTTCCCACAGAAACATATCACAAAGGAATCTGAACTAGACTGGTGAGGAGTTCTTTGGGGAAGTGGTACAACTGATAAAAGATCAAGCACTGACTAAGCGACCCAAGTGTATGGTGGTAAAGTACTCCAGACTGTGGGAACCGTCTGTGCAAGGCCCATGCTTGAAGGAAGCATATTCTTAACCAAGGCTGAAATGACGCCAATGGGACGGAGGGTGGGGGGGTGGGAGGGGGTGCTAGGTCCACAGAAGGCCTCAAAGGCTGTATGAGGGATTCAGCCTTTTATTCTAAAATCAACTAGAAATCACTAAAGCCAAAAGGGAATGGCAAAAGACAAATTTGTCTTTTGAAAAAAAATCACTCCAAACAAACAAAAAGGGGGGGGGAGAAGGGGAGGGAGAGTGGGAGGAAGAGGAAGAGGAAGGGGGAGGAGGAGGAAGGAGGAAGAGGAAGGAAGAAGAGGAAGGAGGAGGAGGAAGCGGGGAGGAGAGGAATAAGGAAAAATTCACTTGGCAACAATGACTGGAAAAACACCAGAGCAGAAAAGGAGATACGGTCTAGTAGCTCAAGTAAGTGATCAAGATACCTAGGACTAGTGTAATAGCAGTAGAAAAAAATGAATATAATCAGAAGTATTAGGGTATAGAGAGTCAAGAGATAAGCACACACATGTACACACCTACACACATATTGCAAACTACATTTTCCTTCATAGAATTTATTTCAGTTCTATTATATAATTATTAAGGTATTTCCCATTACCAAACTCTGGGTAAAGACAGTATTTTATTCAGCACTGAATCCCTAGGGTCCATGAAGTAGGAATTCAATAAACACAGGATGGGGGTAATGGGGAAATGAATATGTCATGTGCATGTATTTTAATGTGCATAACCAATATGCATGAATAAAAACATGATAAAATTATTAATACACAAATATAAAATACTGTATATACCAAAACAGAAGTGGTTACTTTTGAGTAGTAGAAACTATAGAAATTTGAAATCTTTGTCTCTTGGCTTGCTATATCTCTTCTAATTTTTCTATATTGATACACTTATGAAATTAAAACATTAAAAAATTTTTGATATAAATTGAGAGGATTTCATTGTGAAAACAGAATGGGAAGCCATCACCCCAAATGCTTCCATAAAATAGTTTATTAATAAAAAGTTCACATTGAAGCAAGTAAAAAAATACTGTCATTTGTTATTTTAAACAATTAAAATGTGTTTGACAATTTGAACCCATCAACTAATACCTAGAGAGCGTACACACATTTGACTTCAAATTGATCATGCATCTGGCACGCTGGTGGACGTCTGTAATCCCAGCACTCTGGGAAGCTGAGGCAGGAGGATTGTAGGTTGAATCAGGCTGGCAACTTACTGACTTAGTGACCATCTCAAAAACAAAAAGTAAAATAGGGTGGGGAATTTAGCTCAGTGGCACCATACCTACCTTGCAAGGGCAAGGTTGAGTTCGATCCCTAGTACTGCCAAAAAAAAAAAAGTAAAATAAAGGCTGAGAATGTAGATCAACATGAAGGTTTAATTCTCAGTACTTAAAAAAAAAAAAAAAAAAAAAGTAAAATCTCAGTTATAGTACCTAGGAAAAATCCACAGCTAGCACCATACTTAATAATGAAAACCTATGCAGAATGTGTTCCCAAAGTCGGGAACACAAGGGTGTCCACTCAGAATATTTCTATTTAACACTGAACTATAACTTCAATGCAAAGTACTTAGACAGGGAGAAAAAAGGCAGGCACAGTAATACACACCTGTAACCCCAGAATCAGGGAGGCTGAGGCAGGGGGATCACAAACTCAAACCCATCCTGAGCAACTAACTTAGTGAGACCTTGTCTCAAAACAAGCAAACAAACAAAAAATTAAAAATGGGCTGGGGATATAACTCAGAGTGAAGGCCCTAGGGTTCAATCCCAATATTGGGGGCTGGGGTAACCCTGCTACATCAGAAAAGACATAAAATTATACCATGGTCTTGCATGTAGAAGTCATATTTGATAAGGAATTAATATCCAGAATATATAAAGAAATAAAACTCAACAACAATCAGCTGAGCACAGTCAGTCATGCATACCTGTTAATCCCAGCTACTCAGGAGGCTGAGGCGGGAGAATGGCAAGTTCAAGGCCATCTTGGCCAGGCATGGTAGAACACACTTGTAATCCCAGCACTTGGGAGGCTGAGGCAGGAGGATCACCGTGAGTTCAAAGCCAGCCTGGGCTACATAGTGAGTTCCAGGGCAGCCTGAACTGCATAATGAGATCCTGCCTCAAATAAATGAAAAAGGCCAGCCTGGGCAACTCAGCAAGACCCAGTCAAAAAAAAAACAAGGCTGGGAATGTAGCTCAGTAGCCCAGTGTTAGAATACTTGCCTCACATGTGCAAGGCCATGGGTTCAATCCCCAGAGCAGTAAAAATAAATAAAAATTTTAAAATGGGCAATATGTTAACTGGCAACTGAGCAAAAAATATACAAATAGTCAATGAGCACATGAAGAAAGATGTTCAACATCACTAATTATTAGGGAACTGCAAATCAAAATCACAATGAAAAGCAACTTTATACACAGAAGGATAGCTATTATTTTTAGAAAAACCACAGGAAAAAACAAAATGTTGACTAGGAGGTCAATTGCAGTCTTCATGCATTGCTGATAACAATGTAAAATGGTGCAGCCTCCGTGGAAAAGCTTGACAGCTCCTCAGAAAGTTAAACATAGAATTTCCATGACCGAGCAATTCTACTCCAAGTAATATACACCCAAAAGAATTAAAAACAGGAAATTAGATACCCATCCTTCAATGTTTATGGAAGCATTATTCACAATAGCCAAAAGGTACCCAAGGGTCCATTAACATATGAATAAGGCAAACAAAATGTAGTATACACCAAAATGGAATACTATTTAGCCATAAAAAGAAATAAAGTTCTGACTTAAATAAACTGCAGTAGGAAGGGGCTTTGAAAACATTGTGCTGAGTAAAAAAGGTCAACCACAAAAGACCACATATCGTATGTGATGAAAATGATATGCCAGAACAGGTGAATCTAGAGAGAGAAAAAGTACATTAGTTGGAGGAACAGAGACATAAGGGGAGGACAGGGATTAACTGCTCATGGTTTTTTATAGATAAAAAAAGTTGTAAACCTGATTTACAGTGATAGTTGCAAAAACCCTGTGAACACACTAGAAACCACTGAACAGTAGCTTAAATGGCTGAACTGTATACATTGTGAATGATAGCTCTATAAAGTTATAAATAAATAAATAAATAAATAAATAAATAAATAACTCGGGGCCAGAGATTCAGCTCAGTGGCACCATGCCTGCAAGGCTCTGAGTTCGATTCCCAGTACCAAAATCAAAAGCAAACTCAGCTGGATCCCGCCATAGAAATCCTTTGGTGTTACCAGTGCTGCACCAAGATAAACTATTCCTAATCTTGCTCCCCAACAGCACCACCCTATTTATTCAATATGGGAAAAAGTACTTCCTACTATCACCCAGTTTCACATCAACACACTGAAAAATTCTCATAACCACAAGACAAATTCTTTACAAGGAAATCCCCAGTTGTACCTCAGCTTCTAAATCCAACTTTACAACTGCCTTTTTTTTTTTTTTTTTTTGGTACCAGGGATCCAACTCAGGACCCTGTGCTTGAGAGGTAGGCAGGGACACCACTGAGCTAAATCCCCAGCCTCTAAATCCAATTATCCTTGCTTCTGCTTCCTAGGAAATTTACAATATTAATCTGCTGTTTAAGTACAGCCTCAAAATAGTTAATCTAAAAATGGCACTCTCCGAGGCTGTAACTGCCCAGAGCAAGGTTTGTTAATCAGGAGCCTATGAATTCCTGGAAGTTGTATACAAATCAATGTGTGCATATTTTCTGCAAAAGTTCACAATGCTCGGATTCTCAGCAGGGATTTCGAGCCAAAAAGGAGTAAGAATCATTAGTCTGGTTCAACCAAGACTGATTATGATCATTTATTCCCCATCATACTTTTTAAATAAGGAAGCCAGTCTCTCACAAGGTAAAGGAAAGATTAAAAATTTATAAAGTATAGTGTAACTGGTTGATTAACCCATGTATAACACTTTTTAAATATGTATTTCTCTCAAAGTCATGTTCAAAAAGTGAATTTTTTCTAGGTGTGATGGTGCAAACCTAAAAGCCCAGCACTCAGGAGGCAGGAGGATCACAAGTTCAAGGCCAGCCTGAACTACATAGCGAGACCCCATCAGAAAAAAGAAAAAAAAAAAAAAAAAAAAAAAAAACTCCAAATCTTTTTGGAAGCTGTTAAGAGCTTCATCTACTCAAACTGAGGAAAAGAATTCTGGACTGCAAAGTGGAAAACATGGGTTTGCTATTTTTTCCTTCTAATCATTTGGTAACTAGTGATTTCTCATTTAAAAAAACAAAAAACAAAAACAAAACTGATTCAAAATAACACTTGTGCATCTGCTATGTGCCAGACACAATGTCAGGAACTAAGAATGCACTGGTGAAATGAAAATCTCTACCCTCAAGGAGCTTGCAGTATATACAGCATATAGGGTAAAATCATTTTTTCTTAACAAGAAATGAGAATTCACAATTTACTTCCATGGGAAAACTTTTCCTAAACCGAACCAATTCCTTAGGAGACTGTAGCCTATCTTATCCTAAAGTTGACTATTTTCACACACAGATCATTTATTACAGTACTTTACAACTCAGATGATTCCTCTCATAAATCTCTATTTTATCTGGCAGAGACCCAATCTGTATCCTAACTTCTGGGACCTAATGTGTTTCAGTCTGAAGAAAGTACTTACTGCAGTGAGGGTTCATACATAAAACAAAATGACAGGGCCAGATTTAGCTCAGTGGTGCTTCCACCTGTCCCACAAGTGCAAGGTCCCAAGTTCAATCCCCGGTACCAAAAAACATAATAAAATAAAATAACAACAGCTCTGAGTGAGTTACAGGTTCTCTCTTAAAACTCTAGTTCTTCATCCTCCCTTTGTTTTCATATTTTAATTCACAAGACAGAGCAATTAACTAAAGTCTCTAATAAATCAGCGTAGAGCTAGAAAAGTACCAATCTCAGGTAAAATAAAATAAAATCCCTTTGTTTTTTATAGAGTTGAAACATAATCTCAGACCAAGAAGAAAGCAGGAAAATTTCTAGTATTCTTTTAAAAATTCATTGGTAAAATTGGACTCCTCTTTCCCCAGGGTCTAAGTAATAATACTTCTTTTTCTCTTAAATCTAAACAAAGCAAGGGTTGGAGTGCCAATCTCCTCCCCCCATAGCTGAAATTCACACAGAACTTTTGACTCCCCAAAAATTTAATCATTAGTAGCCTGCTATTGAGTCTTACCAATTACACACAGTTTGTAAGCTATATACATCATATACTTTAAATATATGCATGAACTTCAAGAGATCACTTTTTTCTGTGACACACAATTTACTGGAGAGGTAAGTGCTCATGGAGAGATGATTAACATCTGGTAGCTTTTTAAGTAGATACTACCCTTGAGCTTATCACAGGAGGTGACTATGAAATTACCACAGCAGTAGTGTAGTATGGACTATAGCTAAGTTTATGCAGTTATGATTTAATACCAAGTAAGTCTTTACATTTCACTCAACTGAATGGCATCATGTATGGTCTGTGTGTGTTACGTGCTAATAAAATTTAACTTACTCTAATAGATCTGTATATACTTTATAGTAGGAAATTATCTATAATCTATATATACTTCATGCATTTGTGATAGATCAAACTTTTCTTAATATCTTTAATACTTCTAGGCTACATGGCTTGTCTTTTATTTGTTACATCTCCAAAAAGAAAAAGAAAAGACAAAAATCTGCGTGTAAGTGGATCCACAAATATCAAGCCCATGTTGTTCAAGGATCAAATGTACTTGCTTTCTGTTCCCATCAAATACTCTTACCTGATCATATTCTGAAGCACCAGGATAAAGAGGCCATCCCAGGAACAGCTCAGCTATTACACAGCCCAGTGACCACATATCAATAGCTTCACAAAATGGTAATCCAAGAATAATTTCTGGGGCTCTAGCGAAAACAAAAGTATCAAATGAAAAATAAACATTATTTGGGGAAAATAACTATGTTGACTAAATTCTGTTTTAGTATCAGCAAAAGGCGTATTTATGTAATGAAATTAAAAACAATCTTTAGTAATCAGTTAGTCTTGCAAAATTCTGGGCAAGATGTATTTTAGAAGTCAGAATTTTTTTAATTTCAGAAAGGTAATACAGAACATAAACTATACATTACATAAAAGTACCAATGGAATTCAAGGCAGTGTTCCATAATCAAATACATTGATATTTTTGTAACAAAACAATGAGCAGGTATATTAAGTTGGCTAAATTGCCAATAAATGAGTTTATACAACTTAGGAAAATATTTTCAGTTTTGAGAACTAACTTTCTAAATACCAGGGTCACAGATAAAGAATCATGCCTTCCTTTTACTTCAGCGACTTTTTAATTATATAAAAAAAAATCAATTAAATGACCTGGTCAATAAATACATCTCTGTGACAAAAACGCTTCCTGAAGAGACGCGCTGTTTGAATCCAGGGACAGCTTCTCAGAGTTGGAATCCTAGCTCTATTTAACAGCTGAAGGTACATTACTTAATCTCTCTGTGCCACAGGTTCCTCAACAATAAAATGAAGACAAAAAGACTTTAAAGAGTTACTGATAACTTCAAGTAAAGAAATATATATATATATATATTACAGCTTTTGGACCAGTGCCTGGCACATGGCAAGCACTATATGCATTTGGACATAATAACTATTACTATTATATTATTTTATAACTGGGAACTCTTCTTTTGTGCTTTTAGAAATATTCCTTTCCATTGGTGCTTCAAGTAAGAAATACAACTCCAGGGAACTTTAAAGAGAAGACAAAGGTAATCCATAAACAAGAACTTTATATATATGACCATATCTAAAATAAAACTATTATCCCCATTATAAAAGATGAAGCAGAAGCAAAGTCAGATTAATGGTCCAAAAATACTCAGTAAATGGAAGAGCAAGGATTTGAGTCTGTGCAGTCTGTCTGACTCCAGAATTAAGTACATTACACTATCTTTTATGAGTAAGTTACACAGACACCCATCTGTTTGCCACAGTACTACACATGAGTCTTTCTCACATGTGACTAAAGCTAAGAGAAAAATGGGCTCAAAATGCCCTTAAAATACAGCTCAATGGTACATTCACAATGCCCTGGTTCAACTCCTAAGTAGCTGTGTTAAGCTACTTAACCTCCTACTTTCTTTGTCCAATGGAGATAATACTTTATTACTTTATTATTAGAATCTAAGTGTCACTGGTTACAGATGCAACCTTAGTTATGTACCACTTAAAGTAAAACCACTACCATTAAATTAAAATATTATTCTTTGCAAGAATCTTCATAATTTTGTAGATTTTAAAATGTGCAATTTAGGGCCAGGGATCTAGCTCAGTGGTTCTGCCACCTGCCTAGCAAATGAAAGGTCCCAAGTTCGATTCACGGTATCAAAAAAATGTGCAATTTAGAACTGATGATACACAATGATACGTTTTTCTTTCTCTCTCTTTTTTTTTTTTTTTTT